CTCGATAGATCCGTTGCAAAGATAAGCGCGCGCGCGCCTGCGATGGATATTATTTTCGACTCGAAGTTTCTTATCTCTGGAATGCATCTCTCGCTTCACTCTACCTCGATGGATCCGTTGCAAAGATAAGCGCGCGCGCGCCAGCTATGGATATCCCGTTTGAATAGCATTTAAATAATTGAAATATCACGGAGGTCGGAATACCGCAGTGCGTATATACGCTGCCTCATAATGCAAAGGTCCCTGGTTCAATTTCCCCCACCGGCGGTGACAGCTTTTTTTAATTTATTTATTTAAAAATTCATCATGATTAAGATGTCATAACCTCACAATTTCAAATTTACCGCCATCAGCGCCGCCGCCATCTGCAAATTTGAACTTCGCGCCACCAGCGACACCAGCGACACCAGCGCCAACGCTAACTAGCGGCATTTTATTGAAGCTCTGGCGACCAATCCGCTTTGTATTACTACTGATAGCCCATACAGGGTGGACATAAGAAAATTCTATGAATATTTTAACGCCCTGGATGTCGCAAACGAAGCCTTTCACGACTTTTGTGGCTCTTTGGTAATCCTCTGACTCCTGCGAATTTCAGAATTGTAAGGGTGGTCATAAGTTGTGAGACACACTGTATAGTGACTCCCCAACGGGATTCAGCCTCTTCAATAATTCTCCACTAATCAATCAAAATCGGCTCCATCATTGATTATATATCTCTACATTGCACGTTTCAGTATAAAAACCCAAACATGATTTTTCACGAAGATGCATCATGGGAAGTATTGCTCTGATAAATAGTAGTTTATAAAACTAAAAGCTTTTATAGATACCCAGACTGAAGAAATGTAGAAAATAAAATAATAGAAGTGTAATGATGAAAATAAGTACAACATAAACTACTCAACACTAATTTCGTCGCACACCAAAATGTCGCCCCTGTTATAATGTGAATAACTTTTTTCAGTTTAGAACGATTTGAATTTGGTTCACACTGTTCGATAGCCCAGTCCTTCAGCTATAATCTGGTACTTCATTGAAACATAAGGGTATTCACATAAATTCTCTACATAGTGTTTTCCGACACTGTGCGAAATTTCGGAATATTCAAAAGGCTCTCAAATGGTGAAAAAAAATTTTTTCTCAGTTTCGACAACAGAGGCATGAAGATGATCTCATCACCTCTAGCTATTTCGCGAATCAACTTCCTAAAAAAAAATTTGTTCTAAAATTTGTTCTATCCGTCATTCGGTTGCCCCCTTACGAGCAACCCTCAAAAGTCTTCGAAAGTCTATCTCTCTTATTTACAGAGTGATCTCAAAAAATCAACTTTTTGGTTTTGCAGCTATAACTTTTTTTCACGTCAACCGATTTTGGAAATCTTACTCTCATTTTGAAGATAAAACTCAAGATGAAGAGATCTGAATATCAGAATTGACTCAAGATGGCTATCAAAGATCTAGAGTTTTCTTGAAAGTGACCCAAATCTGGAACGCCCTTCGAATCTTGGTTGGGAGGAGAATTGAATGAAAATGAACTTGTTCTCGGAAAAACAAATCATTCTGGATGCGTCCATATTTTCCTCGCTCTCAGTAGTCAAGAATTGTGCGTGAGAAAACACAATTGAAACATGTTCTTGCAAAAACATTAGATCATTTCTCCTCTGTAATGCATGGCCCGCCGTAACCAACGTTACAAGAATCACAATGAGTGACTGACAAACCCGACCAGCTGAGGCTTATCATAAATGGTGTACCAACAAGAGCAACGGATTTTGATTTTTTCAATAAAGTGATTTTTTTAACAGTTGTCACGTACGCGATTTAAGAATATGGAGAAGTATTCAAGCAAACAACGTTTATTTATTGTAAAAACGCATTTCAAAAACGGTGCAAGTTTCACGAAAACAGTTTGCCAATTACGTAAAGTTTTCAGTCGCAATAATGCGCCGAACGAATCGACAGTGATAACCAAACAATTCGTGTCGGAGATAAGCCCTTTGAATGGATCGGACTGTCGTGTTTAGCAGATCCGCGATTTGGAGGGAAGATAACCCTTGTTCCCTCATTTGTGGAATCAGTTCCAACTGGTCGGGCGTTAGATGCGGCATCGAAACTATCAAAATCTGTTTATGATTCGAAAACGATGTCTAACCTGACTTGTCAGTCACTTACTGTGATTCTTGTAACGTTGCTTACGAGCCATGCATTACAGAGGAGAAATGGTCTGATGTTTTTGCGAGAACATGTTTCAATTGTGTTTTCTCACGCACATTCTTGAGTACTGAGAGCGAGGAAAATATGGACGCATCCAGAATGAATTGTTTTCCCGAGAACAAGTTGATTTTCATTCAATTCTCCTCCCAACCAAGATTCGAAGGACGTTCCAGATTTGGGTCACTTTCAAGAAAACTCTAGATCTTTGATAGCCATCTTGAGTCAATTCTGATATTCAGATCTCTTCATCTGAAGTTTTATCTTCAGAATGAGCCTAAGATTTCCAAAATCGGTTAACGTGAAAAAAAGTTATGGCTGCAAAACCAAAAAGTTGATTTTTTGAGATCACTCTGTAAATAAGAGAGATAGGAAGTTGATTCGCGAAATATCTAGAGGTAATGAGATCATCTTCATGCCTCTATTGTCGAAGTTGAGAAAAAAAATGTTTTCACCATTTGAGAGCCTTTTGAATATTCCGAAATTTCGCACAGTGTCGGAAAACACCATATAGAGATTTTATGTGAATACCCTCATGTTTCAATGAAGTACCAGATTATAGCTGAAGGACTGGGCTATCGAACAGTGTGAACCAAATTCGAATCGTTCTAAACTGAAAAAAGTTATTAACATTATAACAGGGGCGACATTTTGGTGTGCGACGAAATTAGTGTTGAGTAGTTTATATTACGTAATATGTGTTGTAAGAAGCCATTCCGCACGAATGAAAGAGTTATAGTGCGGGATATTCTACAATTGATATTGGATATACTATACGCACGCAGCCGCAACCCAATAGGATGATTCTATTCAGAGTAGGGCCAGCACGATCCCTAGATTTCGCACCGTGTCATATTTTGTGGGTTTTGTCGAAATCCAGTATTGTCTACCGATGCTAGAAGTCATTCCGAAATTGTACTTAATTCGAGTAAACTGTAGTAAATTGAGAAAATAACACTTCAAAATCCACGCTTCACACATTTGATGAATAAAAATTCAAAATAATAATATACAGCACATTAAAACACCTCTGAAAAACGTAGGTCACGAACCAATTGTAACTAATAAAAGCCGAAAATAACAGATGAAAAGGAACAGATCAGATTACAGATTGAGATCAAATACTATCATATACATCAATAAGATAAAATATATGACTCAAACTTCAGAGTCAAATCAATTCATCAATAATGGCACATTGCTTCTCCGTTGAATTGGAAATTATGGAGTTTTTATCAATGACCTTGGGCTATCCCATGGGGCTATCCGGTTTTTGAACTAGATTAGTTTTAATTGTATCGACGTACTAAATGTGTATGGAATGTACTAGAAAAGTACAACAGTACTAAAAATGGCAACTTTGATACAACCCAGCGAGCACAAACATCCCTGGGATGTTTTGGGATGTTTTGAAAATGTTGGCATGAAGATGTTATTTTTGAGACGTTATATGTACTGACCAAAGAGGTCTTTGAAGGATATTGAAAGTATTGTTTTTGTTCTTTTGTGCCCTTTTCTTTGTTTGCCCCACCACAACGTCTCATGCAACGTCACAATACGATTAATTCTGATTTGTTTTAGAATTTGTTCTTCTTGTTCGCAATTGGTATTCGCGTTTGCAGCGTGTCACGCTTTTCTTTGTTTGCCTACTGAGAGGTATCCCTGGGATGTCTTGGGATGTTTTAGAAATGTAGGCATGAGGATGTTTTTTGAGGCGTAATATGCATTTCCCAAAGAGGTCTTGAAAGGATATTGAAAGTATTGTTTTTGTTCTTTTGTGCCCTTTCTTTGTTTGCCCCACCACAACGTCTCATGCTTTCGTCACAATACGATGAATTCTGATTTGTTTTCGATTTTGTTCTTCTTGTTCGCAATTGGCATTCGCGTTTGCAGCGTGTCACACTTACATCACGCTGCTAACGAACAGAAAGGAATTTGGTGAAGTTTATTGTGTTAGAAGACTTATTAGGTTTGTAATAATGACCATCAGATGCAAGATGTGTTGTTCGGTGCCTCAGTGTATTCAATATATAGAAGTACGAATTCATCAATACACAGCTTATTCTCCGCAGTTGCAAAATTATGCATTGTGGAGAACATTCCAAAAATTGGGAAACCTATTTACAATTATATGTCTGTGTGTAGTAAGCACTACTCAGAAACCGATTGAGAAGGTAATTTCATATCAAGAAAATATTTTTATGTTCAATCTATTTTTAATGCATTTTTTCATTCAAGGGAAATGGAATCCTGATGCAAAAGTTCATTTTGACAAAAAGCTTCAGAAAAGTACCTCGAAAATGTTTTTTTTTACAGCAAGACGCGTTGAAAATGTTCTGTTGTGTCCATGAAAAGGCTTTTGAAAGAACTAGGGAGAAGGTAGTTTTGTGACATATCAAGGACATCTCGATAATTGCCGCCTGCGGCGGACATTGGCTGTTCTATAATAGTGTGAACAGAACAACGCAGTGGAGGTTCAATGTCTCGAAATCTCGTACTTTTAACATCTCTGAGATGTTTTTGTGCTCGCTGGGAAGACCTCTGAAGGCCAACATCTGGAAACAAATTGCCAACAGACCCGCTGATATAATATAAGTCATGATGAACGTTAGAAAGCGGCATATTCAGTGTGGACAATGGGAAGCTTCACCTACCATGATTTTCTAAACTACAAAAAAAACGTACCTACACTATAAAAACTGATTAGACAATATGATTTATGAAACAGATTTCATTGCATTTTGAAAAACGTTTACTGAGATAAATTTTCAAAACGATTTCACTTACTCGAATAATAGAGCTCCCAAGTTATGTTGGATGGTTATGATATATGTATAAATTCCAGAACAAACACAAATCACGACGCATGCTAGACACGTTTTCCATGGCCTCTTGTTCAAATTCATCAGTAAAATTGGAGAAAACAGGAAGAGTTGAGTATCCACAGCCAAGTACCAAGAGTGCTCCACACACTAAAAAAAATGGATCCTTGCACTTGATAATGTACGGACACAAACTTGAATTCGCAAAACTTCAGCCCGAAAGGTAACTAATATGTAAATGGTAACGTCGCTTTGTTTCCCTCCTTATCGAATACTCTTGAATCTATTTGTGATACACTTATTACAAGAGAGTCAGGTTGAGAAAGTTAGGATTTTCAGATATATACATACAGGGTGTTCCATTGGGAAATTGAATTACGTCATCAGTAGATAGAGGTTAACGAGGTGATTGTGAATACACCATTGATTTTACCAATACTATCTTCAAAACCAACATACATAGGGTGTCTCTCAATTTTGCTGATTTCTTTATAGGGTTATAACTATAACGAATCACCTAGTATTTTTTTTCTGATTATTGGTACATACGTGTTCATCTTCCACAATTTGGGATTTTGTTGTCTTGGAGAATTCAGAGAATAAGTTATAAATCCACAAAGTAGGTATATCTGCTGCTCATATCATACCTATTCAGTTTCAGTATACAGGGTGATTCGAAAGTGAGTCGCATTCTTTCAGGGCATATTCCTTGCATGAAAATGAGGCAAAAAGTTTCTTATTTTGAGAGGACACCTCAAAGACGTTTTTTTTTCTGTAACAATGAATTTTTGAAAATTGGTGTACGGCATAAACATCTAATGGTAAATAAGACTTTGAATTCGAAATTTGAATGAGTGTGAAAAATCCTTTTTCTGCAATCGACTCTAAAGTCGTCCATTTTTGCTCCAAAATTAGCTCTTGAAGTTGACGTTCCTCTTACTAACACGATAGAATGATTAGTATGTATGTTACTAGGCAACACTTTCAATGTCTGGGAGCTGAAGTTTAAGGTTAACTACTAGGAACTGAAAGTGTCTTGGATGACACATGATATGATAGCTGCTTTGACACTGACATTCTAAAGTGAACCAGAATAGTGGTTACTCCACTTATTATTGAATATCAATTATTTCGATTGCATAAAAAATGGCATGTTCCATTCGGATAAAAAGTGACTCTGACTCGCAAAATTTGCATGCTCGGCCTACTTTTTTCATTTAATATTCAGGTTATTGTGATTTCATTTGGAAATTATAAAATTCTAGAGTTTTTCACGCAAAAAAGGTACTCTCAGTTCATTTCGGTGAAGAGTAATATTTAGGAGAAAATTGATTTCGAAAACTTTCTGACTTGCTTATGCATGTTTACTGATATAAATTAATATGAATTACCAAAAATACGCATCAAGACCATAATGAACTAAGAGTACATTTTTCACGTGATGAACTCTAGAATTTTATGATTTTCAAACGAAATCACAATAGCCCGAATATCAAAAGAAGAAGGGTATTTTTTTACACTTACGCTACCCCGCATAATTTCGAAATTTTTGAATCTGAGTCTTATTTACCATCAAAATGTTTACGAACATTTCATGCTCCTGAAAGGATGCCTGTTTCTTTTGAATCAGCCTGTATAGAACGAATTGCACATGTTGAAAAATCAATCAACTATATCTCGTTAGCCGTTCGAGATAACCCCAAAAGTCGTATTTTCGAATTTGTAATTTCAATCACTCACCGACCGAATGAAATACAGTGTGATCCATTTGAAAATCGAAAATTGAAAAAACGTGAACATTATTCGATATTTGATAAACAACATTCTATAGTAGTAGTGGTAGTAGTAGTAGTAGTAGGTGGGAAAGCTGTAGCCAAGCAAGTACACGGAAAAAAAGGATTTGTTGCATCAACAAATTATTTAAGCTTGAGTTATTTTTGTTGGACTGAGCAATTTTTTGTTGAATCAACCAGATACATGATTATTCCATGGAAGCAGCTTGTTCAATTCAAGAATGTAGTCTAATTGAATCAACTGTATAATATCAATTCCATCAACAAAATATATGGTTTCCTCAAGAACAAATTATGTCGATCCAAAATAATGTCGATGTTGATACAACTAAAAACATTTCTTTGATTTGATCAAACAATGATCATTTTGATGAGAGTATATCTTTGAAACAACATACAAGTTTTCTTATTCCGATGTAGCAATGAACTCGTTTCGAACGGATCATTTGCTTGAATAGAGCAACGAAATATGTAATATCAATGAAATATTTTGTTCATTCTACATCAACTTAAATTTTCGCCTCTAGATGGCGATCATTTCGCCCCGTCTATGCCTGCCTCGAATTCATTATATGCGTGAAGCCTGATGATTCTTCGTGTTTACAACATTAGCTGGATAAATCGAACTTAGGATGATTAGCAATCCAAAATAGTTTTCCATCAGCTAAGAGAAGTGAAGACTTAAGATCTATGCTAGGAGTCGACTAGTTTCCTAGTTTTGTTTATTCTATTGATGTGAAATTTTAGAAAATTCCCGAATATTGAATTTGGTTCAACAAATAATTTGTCGACGGGATATATAGTTTCTCTTGAATCAACAAAATATTTCATTGAATTAACCAAAAACTTCATTGAATCAACCAAATATTTCATTGAATCAACCAAATATTTCTTTGAATCCACTAAATATTTCGTTGAATCAACTAAATATTTGATTGAATCAATATCTTGTTATTTTGAATCAAACGAAATGATTGTTTGAGCCAATTCAAAATTTCTTCATAAACAATTCATGGATGTGCTTGATCGAAGCAGATCCAGAGTTTATGCAAGACATATTTACTTGATTCAAACTTCAAATTCGCTCTGAATCAAGATATAGATTTACTCATTTCAAGATTATATTTTTCATTCAATTAAATTTTGCTTGATTCAACAATCCTTTTTTTTTCGTGTAGACCCCGATGGTCCCTTCTTGCCAACCCCTGCTCCCCACACATCTACGAATCTCCCTGACCTTCTGATGAAGGCCAGTATGTCCATCCACTCTAATATAATCAAGTCCTCCTGTTTTAGTTAGTTTGTCTTCTCCAAAAGATTTAATATCTCAGCCTTCCGTACGCCTCGCACTCGCCAAGAAAATGGAGTGAAATTTTCTCGTCTTCCCCGCATCTGCGGCAAGTGGGGTTGTCCTCTATTCCCATAAGTGATAGGTGTCTGCCTAGCCTGTTGTGTCCTGTGAGTACTCCTATGAGGAGACGGAGTACTTGGCGGTCTCTGCCAAGCAGCCACTCCTTCCTTTATTTGCTTGGACCGGCCATTCATCGAGGGCTGACGTAATTTGGCTCCTTGACCTAGTGCAGGCTCCGGTCCCACAGACGGCTCCGCGGATCCGGACCTAGCCGTCTGTTGCCTTTTTTCCGGGCACACCAATGACCCGGCACCCATACCAGTTCTTTGCTACCAAGGTCCATGAATTCCTTGGCCTGCCTGCAACCTGTGATATTCCCCTCAGGGGCTCACAACTTGTGAGTACAGGAATGGTGAACCCGAGGTACCCTAGCCGGATATTCACCACACTTCAACTTGTCTTGGGTGATATCCTCTTCTCTCTTCCGTTTTCAATCTTTCTATCGACCTTTCTTGACCAACTTCTCTTTTCCTCTTCTCCTACAAGCCCAACCTCACCATCAAGTGGTGTGGGGAAGGCAGGCCGCGGCCGCTTGACAGATGAAGCATTTTGGGACCATCTTTGCTATCTTCTGCCAGATGGGACAATTTGTGGACATCTGTGGCAGGGATGGGGCGATTTGCTGATGTCTGTCTAGGTGGTCGAGGACTGGTCAACGAGGCTCTGGCAACCTGATCCAAGCTGTGGGAACCCGTGGCGATGGATGGATGGCACCGAGGAATGGTGTCGCTAACGGGGCCTCTGGGAAACAGGGCGACATCCCAGAGTAAACAGCCTTAGCCCTGTGCAGGGGGCACCGCAGGGCTGGAACAACCCCTTCCCCTGTCACTCGTAGGAGAAGGAAAGCTTTTGGCCTTCTTCGTAAACGAGAACAGGGATCGGAATAGCAATATTTAGGGACCTGAACGAGAAGGGTCTTCCATATTGAAGTGGCCCTTAATAGGCACCATGAGTCGTATGTGGTAAAATTGATAACGGTATGTAGGTGAGATACAATGGGCCACTAGGCCTAAGTGTCGTCGGAGCCTACAACGGGGTGGAGTGTTTAGTGGGTATACCATGGAGGGGACTCCCACACTATCATATGGGGGATTGGACCCATATGATGTCTATAAAAAAAAAAACCTGTGATATTCATCCAGTATTCTCGGAGTGCCTTGTTCGCCCATTCATCGAGGGCTAACGTAATTTGGCTCCTTGCTATACCTAGAACAGGCTCTGGTCCCAGAAACGGCTCCGCGGATCCGGGCCTAGCAAGTTAGTCTGCTGTTTCATTTCCGGGCACCCAACTGTGACCTGGGACCCATACCAGTTCTTTGCTACCAAGGTTTATATCAATTTTTTTCACCACTGGCAGGATATTTCAATCACTATAGTCCTGTATAGTCACCAGATGGTATTAGTTAGATAGCTAATACCATCCAGTGACTCTATAGGCCTATTCGTGTGTCATGCTCACCCTGCTAAAGTGCTAAAAAGTGATGTGAGCAATATTCGATGTTCGTTTGTTTCGGGCAATTGATGATTGAGTGTTCGTTTGACTGGAGCTAGTTGCAATTGATCACTTGCAGCAGGATTTATTTGGTCCGCGAATTTCCAGGGGGCAAAAAAATCATATCAGATTGATCAAGTTGGATGGAGAATGAAAAAAAAGAAAATGGCGAGAAATGCAACAATCATTTATAAATATGGCAAAAAAGAGAAGGATTCTTAACTGTGCCAAGGTAAGAGACGCGAATTCGCGGACATGATCCTCGAATAATGCCAACGGCTTCATCATTTTGATCACTCATTCTTTTTTCTCGATCAAAATCAAAGATCAAAACCTCCAATCGAAACCAAATCAGAACAAATTTGGAAATCACTCAGATTAGGCTATGTTCAGGAATGATTGTGCCACTGATTTGTGTTCGTTTGTGCTGAGCAGTGAATCATGCTTTCTGTTTGTTTGAGTTGAGCAAGAGATTGATGCTCCTACTAAAAAATTTGTTCTAAAATTTGTTCTATCCGTCATTCGGTTGCCCCCTTACGAGCAACCCTCAAAAATCTTCGAAAGTCTTGTGACGGGGGTCTTACCTTTTAACGTGTGATCCCAAACACTTTCTTGGGCCATCAGAAAAATTTCTGCAGTCGACGGGGATCGAACCCACGACCGGCAAGCGAATGCGAATTAGAATATAGACACTCTGTCCGCACGGCTACCTGGCCACCCTGGATCATAAAAATCAAACCAGTGACATCAGATTACGTGATTTTTATAATTTTTTGAGCATGTTGAGTTTTTCAAACGAACTGGCATTAGTTCTCTGAAAGTGAGATGTGGACCTATATTGTCATTATGGAAGCATTTCTGTGTGTCTTTTTTGACTAAAGGTTCATAAAATGACGAAAACTACCTTGGTAGTAAAAAACGCACTTTACGCCTTGAAAAGGAGTAAATAATGGTAGGTTCTAGAGCTAGTGGTGAAAAAAAATATCGCAAAATTCTTACCGAAAATGATTGATCTAAGTAGTTGTTGAAGAATAAGGCGGTAGCCCACCAGGTGCGAGTACAAGCCACGCTGAATCTTCCTGCTATTTGCACCCAATCCGGACCGTCTCCAAGGATTTTGAATATGCTGATATAAAATAGTATCATTGCCAACAGAGATGGAGCCAATCTATAAAAATAAAACAGTTCCATATACATTTTTCGTAATAGCCGCATAGCCCAGTTATTGAACTATTTTAGGTTAAGAAAGCTTATGGAGGGATGAAACTGATCAGGGACGTGGATTTGATGATTCTGATTATTACGCTGAGTTTGCGACCACGAGCTACCGTGATCTTGGAAAAATGACACCTGGAATCAGCTTTCGGCGTATAACTCTGTTTTTGTGAGTTTAAAAGAAAACAATTCTTTTTAAAAAATAGACATATCAGAATTTGCCACAAGAAAAATTCAATATTATCTGGTCTTCGAAACGATATAGTTTCCGAATGACAGCGCTGAGAAGAAGGCGAGAATTCAGGAATCAAAAAACTTTCTTCATCAGATTTTTTCACATCATCTACAAATCAACGGATTCGTGATATGTTTCAATAATATACAGAAAATTGCTCTTTTATTATTTCGCACAATTTTTTCAATTATCCTGCTTGTATATTCCAGAGGCATATACAGTGTCATTCATAAGTTGGCATCATATGGGAAAACTTTTATTAATGACTTATTTTGGAATTCGAGTTGGATGTTGAGTTTTGCTTCAAAAAAGATGAGAAATGGCCTACTCAATCGGGGTCACGTGACTTTCGCTACATGTCGAAAGTGAAATTTTTTCAAATTAATCGCTGAAAGTAGGCTTATTTGTTCGAATATCGAAAAAGTTTACTTGAAAAAGTTGTTTTTATTCCAATTTTACACATGCTTCTTGAATTTGATCTTTTTATTGCGACTTTTATATTTTGTTTTTTTTTTAATTTTTCGAAATTTCTGTAATATTCGAAGAATTGTTAATTCCGAGAAACTACTTCATAGCAGTAGCTTTTTCATGCGACTCACTTTCAATTACTTATTTTCACTGATTATGGACAGAAATATGATTTTCTTCAGAAAATGATAATTCCCGCTTACAAATTCTGTTAAGTTTGATGCAGCGAACTTTTTCAAGTAAAATTTTTAGATATTCGAACAAATAAGCCTACTTTCAGCGATTAATTTGAAAAAATGTCACTTTTGACATGTAGCGAAAGTCACGTGACCCCGATTGAGTAGGCCAATTTTCATCTTTTTTGAAGCAAAACTTAACGTCCAACTCGAATTCCAAAATAAGTCATTAATAAAAGTTTTTCCCATATGATGCCAACTTATGAATGACACTGTATATGCCTCTGGAATATACATGCATCAATATAAATGAATCATTTCGTTAAAATCCGACTATTTTGAAGTTGTAAAATAACGGAAGTTATGTCAACCATCGACCATTTCATAGATTGTTATCAGGGACAACGCTATCGAACTGTTCCACTGATCTTGATGGCCATTGGAAAACCTCCGAAAGCTCCATTCATAATAATATTTCCAAATCGATTTTACCCGAAATTGATACATCTACACATACAAAAAAGTATGCAATATTCAATAGAGTCCCGCCCTGTATTATACACTCCTGAATCAAATTGAGGAATGATTTTATTTTCATTGTATTAGGCATGGAATGTTTAGGTCTTGTACCGAATTGCATTATTCTATCACATGGCATTTCGTAAATATTGAATAGATACCATCTTCAGGAGCCCTCTTCCATTGGGCCGTATAGCTTCCTTGGGAGACATTTATCGACTCATGTTTATTGGTCGTAGCGTAGAAGCCGCTAGTGAAGTTTGGCAGGCTAATGTCAGGACACCCTGTATACCTCTGAGGTAAAGCCACAATAGAGTCATTTGGGGTTGCGTTGAGGGTGATATTTGCCCCACTCACGTGACCTGACCTAACCTACATTAGTATATTGTTTAACGAGAACGGAATGATAGTTATTTCCCACGGGCATTCCGTGCGAGTAATACACTACCCTTTTTCTACTGCTGTGACAGATAACAGCGAATTTTTTTATTCATCTGACTTTTTCTTGAGTAATGCTGATCTATTAGGCAGAGCTGTCATTGCTTTAAATTCGACATTTCATGGAAGATCAGGATTTGACGAAGTCATTGATGTGATATCAGATACAGAAATGAAATTGATGACATTGATCTATCGAACACAGTGAAACAAGATCAATTTTGTGTTATAGCCGTAAAAAAACATACTCAAAGTACCTACTGAATCTAACAAATAATTATATTGAATTCTAGAGAGATCATTAAGTTTGACCATAACCAACAAAAGTACTGAATATAGTACCGAAACGACACGGTGTGGAGAGGACATTTGTAAAAAAGATGTTATCGTGCAAAATATCACAAACATGATAATTCTTAGATCGTGCAAAAAAATTGGATGAAGAAACTTCTAAATGTTCGCCTACTTCTCAGCCCTGATATAACCGGAACTATCATTTCAACTAAAATGTTCTATGGAAGTTCACTTGTAGTGAATTTTGATATCTCAATTTTTCAAACAGAAACTTATCCTCTAGAACCTACAGAAATGGAGTTATACGCCTAAAACTGATATCGGACGTTATTTTTACAAGATATATCGCCTGAGGCCATCGAGGGTTCTTGAGAATCTTTGGAAAGCATCAATAACACTTCGTGCTGGAAATACACAATTGATTCATTATTCCAGATTTTTTGGCATTTTCTCTCCTCGTTACTATGAAATAATATTATGAGTATCATTTCAATATACGTGTAGTAGTGACGAATCAGATGATGGTTTAAACGCAGTGATAACAAAAAATCTGGAATAATGAATGTACCACCTCCTCGATTAACCTACAGACAGTATTTTACACAATTGATTATTTATGCAAACGCAGCTTTCAATAACAAAGAGAGGAAAATAACAAATGAGTGAAAAACAATAATACTATGCCCTCATGGGTATTGAATATCACTAAAATACCTGTGAATCCCATAAACACTTATATTCTACATTTCCCTATGATGTTTATGATGGTCGTTTTGAAATAAACTATATCAAACTCTTCTGGCCAATCGTTATCTGATCAATCAATCCCTCCTCAACGCTCATAACAAAGTTTACGCGTTACTGAAGATCACAACAATATTTTATGAGAACTCACCTTAAATATCTATATAGATACATCTTGAGAACAGGAAACTGCCTGTTCTTATTACCATCCATATGTTTCAAGAAGAAGTAAGATAAAAGCAGACCACTGAGTACCAGAAAAGTATCGACAGCATATGTAGCACTTTGGAGGATAGATGTAGTTAAGTTTTGTTTCCACTGGAAATAAAAGCAACCTGCTTAACGATTAGTTATTGATCCAGTTGGTTTAGCTATTTGATTTCAACTACGGAAAAGTCAAATGTCTCAATGTGAAATAATCAGCTATAAAATAGAATGAGAAACTCAGTCACTTCCTCAGAATATGTTGGAATAATTGGATGGAAATACTAGGTAGCTGAAGGAAAATATCTTCATAAAGCACCCCTTATTCTGGTGTCTCACATTTTTTTTATGTTCTGGTTCCTACTAAAAAGGAATATCCTGTAATGATCAGAGAACATCGTGAGAACCAAGGGGAATTAGGTAGTAATTGGTGTTCTTCTTAAATTTATGTAGGTTATATGCCTCGGAAAACACCTCCCTTGGCATTGTGTTTCAGAGCCTCGCTGTTCGTTGGATGAACGAGTCTTTGGAAAGAGATGTTCTGCAGGTCTCCAAAGTGACCACGAAAGGGTGCGAAGCCTCAACTCGACAGCTTAATCTCCCGGGGACTGCCAAGGGAGGAACAATTGTTGATATTTCAGAAGAACATTGTCCATGAAAATATCTATGAAATAGAGCGAAAAGTAAGTGGGTTTGTGAGCGAGGCATCACCCACCAGACGAATTGCCCTTTTTTTGACAGAATCCAACAGGTTCAGGTTATGTTTGGGTGCTGCACTCCAAATATGGGAACAGTATTCCAGGACAGGTCGGATCTGTGCCTCATAGAGCATACTCAGCTGACTGGAAGTGAAATAGCTCCTGGCCCGAAACGAAAAAACAAGTTTTTTGGATGCACTTTTAGCGATTGATTTCACGTGATTTTTCCAAGAAAAGTCATTGCCGATAGTATAATACCAAGCATCGAAATGGATGTCTTCAAAGGTATGGTTACTCCTGACAAGCTTATGTTGGGCACAGTGAGATCGGCTTTTCTAGAAAAAAGGCATTGTTGCTGTAATCTCATATAACACATTGTATATATTTTAATGGAAAACACTTTGTACATAATTTTTATTATTGAGTTGTCTTGTCATGTCAATGTCTGAATCTTGTGTCATTCCTATTGCTATAGGGAAAAATAATAGAAGAGTGATAATAATAAATAGTTCAAGAAAATAAAGTACAAGTCAATTTTGTGGATTATTCATAGAAAACCAGAGAAGGAGGATATATCGTAAATTTGGTCATTCGAGCCAGGTTAACAGTTCTTTCCCTAAAGGTAATCCCCAACAATTGTGGTCATTCGAGCCAGGTTAACAGTTCTTTCCCTAAAGGTAATCCCCAACAATTGTGGTCCTTCTGAACCGTTAGAACAGCTCTACTGGAAATATTATGTCTTCGTTGCCGCCCAGAAGGAGCGAACGTATTCGCCAGAAGAGATTAGCTAGAACAGTCGTAAGATCTATAGAAAATGAGAGTGCACATCCAAGAAATGGACTGGAGCAGGTTCCAGAAATTGGCGTCCATCAGCAGCTTCTTGAGATTGTCGTCCAGCAGGTTCCTGAGAGTGTCGTCCGCGGTAAAAGTCGTCATTCTCATTCAGAGGTAAGGTCAGTAGCTAGTACACATCGCCAAATCTTAGAAGAGCAACTCAAAACTACTAGAAGAGAGCACGAAATAGAAGCAGAACGAGAAAGAAGAGAGAAAGAGATGCTGGATCTAGAGTTAGCTCTCAAAATAGCACAGATCGAAGATAAATCAACAAAATCCAGTAAGTCTACTTTTGAAGATTCATTCAGTTCATGTAGTCAAAGGTCAAATATTCAGGAATGGATCAATAATCAAGATCCTATTCATCGAGATTTTGACAATTTGAATGATTTATGTCACACTGACTGCCGCAATACAAGTGATAAGTTCAGATCTCCTGATCAATATCTTGAGAAAATGATAACTAGGCAATCAATTCCAAAGGATTTACCAATTTTCAATGGAGATCCGCTTGATTGGCCACACTTCATCAGTCAATATCAGAATACCACTAAAATATGTGGCTATTCTAATGAAGAAAATCAAACAAGACTTCAGAAGTGTTTGAAAGGTAAAGCCAAAGAAGTCGTACAGTCTTCATTAATTTTGCCAGAGAATATAGATGGAGTAATAGACACTCTGGGAAAACGTTTCGGCTGTCCAGATTATATCATTAGAGTTATTTTAGAGAAGATTCGGAGTACTCCATTTGTCAAAGAGGATAAACTTGACACTCTTATCGAATTTTCAGATGTCGTTAGAAATCTTGTGAGTACAGTATCTATATTGAAGCAAGAAGATCATCTGAGGAATCCAACTCTACTGCAGGATCTGCTGAACAAACTCCCAACGAGATACAAAATGGATTGGGCAAGAAAACTGAAGAGCTTGGATCAAACCAGAATCATCAGGTTGGTAGAATTTCAAATTTGGTTAGAGGAGTTGGCAGATGATGCTTGTCAGGTGTCAAATCCATTTCCTAGTTCCTCGAAGCCTGAAACTAGGCAGCCTAGGAAGTTAGAGCAAACGTACACTAGAAGAAACGAGAATCCAGAAGGTTTGTATAATTTGCAAAGAACAACACTATTTGAATAAATGTGAAAAATTCCTAGAGTTAGACGTAGATAAGCGCTGGGATCTAGTAACGAAAAATCATCTCTGTTTTTCTTGTTTGAATTCTCATCATGGGATCAAAAAATGCAAGAGAAAAAGACCATGCCAAGTAAATGATTGCAAGAAAGTTCATAACCCACTGCTACATAAAACTGTAATAGAAAATGTAAATTCTACGACGAATGCAACAAGTAAAATTATAGCTTCCACAAGTCATTCAACTGTTGCTGAAACTAACTGTCATATATTCCAAAAAGAAAATCAAGTTATTCTCAAGATTCTTCCAGTAAAATTAAGTAGTTCGAAAGGATCTATTGACACATTTGCCCTTTTGGATGATGCTTCAACAGTTACACTTTTGGATGAGGAAATTGCTCAAAAATTAGAACTCAATGGACCTTCAGAGTCACTCTGTATTAAATGGACAAACGATGATGTTCAAATACAAAATGATTCTAAGAACGTTTCTTTGACTATTTGTGGAGGTCAACAAGAAACCAAAAATTTTCAATTACGTCATGTGAGAACTGTAAAAAAATTGTCGCTTCCTCGTCAAAATATTGACTTGCAACAAATTGTCAAAGATTACCCTTACATCGAAAATCGAGAGTGTTTGAATATGTTCAACGTCCAGCCTTCTATTTTGATAGGTCAAGATAATTGGCCACTCCTTGTTAGTCGAAAGATCATAAGTGGACCGTGGAATGGACCAGCATTGAGCAAAACTCTCCTCGGTTGATGGGTTCTACATGGAAACATCAAAAAATCAATTGGTGAGGAAACTCTACAGTTCACATGTTTAGTATATGGACCAGAGAAAGATGACTCTCCTCGGTTGGGTTCTACATGGAAACATCAAAAAATCAATTGGTGAGGAAACTCTACAGTTCACATGTTTAGTATATGGACCAGAGAAAGATGACTTGGATATACTCCATGATTTGGTTCAAGATCAATGGAAAATTGACAATTTTGGAATGAAATCTATAAACGAGCCAACAGTTTCTAAGGAAGATAAGAGGGCAATTGAAATCTTGGAGAAAACGATTAGAAAAGTCGACAAGACCAAGTACGAAATTGGTCTTCTCTGGAAATCTGAGAATGAAGCACTGCCAGAAAGTAAAATGAATGCACTTGCGAGGCTTAAATGCACAGAGAGGAGAATGGATAAGTCTCCCATATTTGCCAAAGGGTATTGTGATAAAATGACGGAGTACATAAATAAAGGGTATGTTAAAAAATTAACCAATTATGAAGCAAATGAAAAATTTCCCAAAAATTGGTATCTTCCACACTTTGGCGTAGTGAATCCGAATAAACCCAACAAAATCAGAATTGTATTTGATGCCGCAGCAAAATCAAGTGGTTCTAGTCTCAATGATTATCTTTTGTCTGGTCCAGATCTGTTCAATTCTTTGATAGAAATATTACTCAATTTTAGGATTCATAAAATAGCATTTGTTGCCGACATTAAAGAGATGTTCTTGCAAGTGAAAATACGGAAAGAAGACCAATGTGCCCAGCGTTTTCTTTGGAGAGGTATGGATCGAGAACAAGACCCAGATGTCTATGAAATACAGGTAGTGTTTTTTGGATCAACATGTGGCCCTTGTCTAGCTCAAACTTTTAAAAACAGGAATGCTGTGGAACACATGGTAGACTATCCAGAGGCATCAAATGCTATTATCAAGAAACATTATATGGACGACTACTTAGATTCTGCCGGAACTGAAGAAAAAGCAATAAAATTGATTAATGAAGTGATACAAGTCCATAAAAATGGCGGATTCACTATTTGCAATTGGATTTGTAACAATGAAAAGGTTTCGGAAACAATAGATGAAAATTTGAAAGTCATTGGAGGTGAAAATGTGAACGTCAAAGATTCCACAGCCGTCGAAAGAGTCCTCGGTGTGTGGTGGAACCCTAAAGATGATATTTTCACATTTCAAGTTCAATTTCATACCATTGACAAAGATATTCTGGAAGCAAAGAAACGTCCTACAAAGAGAGATGTTCTGAAAGTCATCATGTCTATTTTCGATCCTTTAGGTTTGATTGGTAATTTTACAATTCAAGGAAAAATTATACTTCAAAACATTTGGAGAAGTAAAATAGGTTGGGACGATGAAATCCCGAGTTCTATTGATTTAGATTGGAATGCATGGTTAACAGACCTGAAGAACATCAAGAATTTCAAGATACCAAGGCAATACTTTGCCTGTAACTCTGAGAATGATACAGAATTACACATATTTTGTGATGCATCAGAAAATGCCTATGCTGCAGTGGCCTACTTAAGAAAGAAAAGGGAAAATGGAATGGAAATTTCTTTTTTGTGTTCAAAAACAAGAGTAGCACCACTCAAGCAATTGTCTATTCCTAGACTAGAACTTCAAGCAGCTCTAGCTGGAGCAAGAATGGGTAATTCCATATTATCAAAGATTGAAGTCAAGATTTCGAATACATTCTACTGGAGTGAGTCAAACACGGTATTACATTGGATAAATTCCGAAAATCGGCGACTAAACGTATATGTTGCACATCGAGTCAACGAGATTCAAGAACTCACGAATTCTAAGAACTGGTTTTATGTGCCTTCTAAACAAAATGTAGCTGATGAAGCAACGAAAAGAACATTTGATTTTTTTTCATCTTCTAGTAGGTGGTTAACTGGGCCAAAATTTCTTCTTGACAATCCATTACCAGATTTCTCAAGCAAACAGAAAACAGACCAGTTAGACATACAGAATTTGGAATTGAAAGATAGTAAGTTCGTAGCAGTGATTTCCAAAATCTCACAAAATCAGTTCTCTGAAGCATTACCTGATCCCTTAAGATTTTCTAGATTCAATAGACTTGTTCGAAGTACTGCTTGAATCCTGAGATTTATCAAAAATTGTATAAATAAAAATAAAAAGAAAACTGAGTTGTGTCTTGAAGAAATTGAAGATGCCGAATTCTTGCAATTCAGAAGAGTTCAGCAGGAATCATTCACTGAAGAATTGTCTTTATTGAAGAATGGAAAGGCTGTACCTAAATCAAGTAAACTATTCAAACTTTCATGTTTTTTAGATGGTAATATCATTCGACTAGGAGGAAGACTGGATAATTCATTGCTTTTGAATGAATTTACGAAGAGACCGATCATTTTGGATTCCAAACATGTCATCACCAAATTATTAATTATAAATGAACATGTGAAAAATCTCCATCATGGAAAAGAAGCTGCAATCAACAACCTCAGACAGAAATTTTGGATCATTGGATTAAGACAAGCTGTGAAGCAGGTATGGAAAAATTGTCAATACTGTAAAAACAAACAAAGTACTCCGAATTCTCCACTAATGGGACAGTTGCCATCTTGTAGACTGGAACCAACTATCAGGCCTTTCTACAAGACAGGTGTTGATTATTTCGGTCCTATTTTAGTATCTGTGAAAAGATCACATGAGAAAAGGTATGGAGTCATATTCACATGTATGGTCACTCGTGCTATACACCTGGAAATTTCAAATGATTTAACTACAAATGCATTTATTCATGTTTATCGACAATTTGGACATGGAGAGACCTGTTTGAGAGAAAACTAGCTAGCAGAGAACATAGCTGGTGAGGCGAGCCATGAGATGGAAGCTTGGCGAGGAGTCCGTGGTGCCAGACTCGATCGAATGCCTTGGAGATATCAAGTGCCATGACTAAGGTTTCACCATGTTTTTCAATAGATTGCAGTCATATATGTGAGACGTAAGCGAGCAGGTCACCAGTTGATCTCTCAGGACGGAAGCCATATTGCCCATCGTTGATAATACCTGAATGTTCCAGGTCAAAGGTCTCCACAAAGTGGAGTACAATAAACAGTCACTGTCAGTTCTAGATTGATGGAAAATTGGACATGATATTCTGTGTAATGATACAGTCACAGGAATGATAAATACAGTTAGCAAGTTGTACATTTCTGTTGAACTCTAATAACACTTTTATATGTTATATAACTGGTGGCCCTTCAACGATCATAATGAAGACACTCTGGAGCTGATTGTTAGGTTAACTACATAATTCGAGACTTGCTCCAAAACTTCTATAAGACTGATTTTCACTTTGACATTTGATTTACTTGAATTTAGGGGCAAAAAAATGTCACGACGTAGGTAGGTCAATGCTGTTAGTGACGATCTTGCTGAAATTAAAGCCTGAGGAACCAACAACTTAGTTGAATTCGACACCACCAAATAAACTCAAACCTGAATTTTCTCTAAAAAAAACGGAAGTGAGTAAACTTGTAATAACAATGTCTGGTACCACCATTTCTATCAAGACCACTATATAGATGCTCTTTTGATAGGAAAATCATGTCCGATCCATCGCGACAGCTGCTTCACAAAAACTCGATTATTTCGTGTGAAAATCTACTTTACACCTAACAGCTAAGAAGAAATTCCAACAGCTACGTCTGTACGCTATCCTCCCTATCCTTTCGTGCGTTCCAAAAGATAAAAAAAACACACTTCTCAAATTTGTGTTTATCTATGGTAACCGTTGTTTGATTATTTGAACATTCTGTGAAAAATACTTTGAGTTTTCTTCATTCTGTTATTCTGTTTGAATATTGAAATAGTCTCTCAAATGAAGAAAACCGTCATATTATTATACTATAGAGTCAAAATAATCAAAACACAAAATGATGTTCAGTTCTCATATGAGTAATAAAATAGTAATTCACGTAACAAGTCCAGAAAATACTGTTTTTTTGGACAAGTAGACGAAATTCTGGGCCAAGCCGTAGGCGGGTCCTGGAAGTCTGCGAGTCCAAAAAACCTTTTCGCACGTAATGCGTACACAATTTTTTCGGAAAGCATGTAGAATAACAAATCAATGACACACATTTCCATATTATATTTCTTTGTTGAGTACAATTTCTTCTTTATCAATTCTCATTTGCATCAAATACTGAAATTTGAACAGAATACCTATACCTACTAACTGTCACATTGGAAATCTCGTGTGGACATTTTCAAACTCACTATCGCTGCTGCTTTCGATAGTTTATTGCGATAATTGCAACCAAACTTTCCAAAATCAAAATATTAACTTATTTCATTTCAAAAAGCTGTCAGCCGATATCTCGCTGCTATGGTAATTATCATCTGAATTTATCAAAACCATATCTACCAAGATTTTCATAGTTACAGTGACAACAACGATGTGATAGTTCCCTGACTAGGACGGAAAAATATTATATTCTCAAAGAAAAAGTGTTCGGGAAGTGAGCACTTGATATTGATATCCATCATACAGGACGTGGAAAGAAATTCTGAATTGAAAGACTGAAATAGGCCGATTGAAATCAACTTACTATACGAAAATGTTTTGTTCAGCCGTAAGAGGGCGATGAAGAACAATTTTTTTTGCCTGATATTCTGTAAGTTTTCGAAATCCTGGAGAGCTGCTGCTCTGGAATTCGTAGAACAATTTCAATATAGTGAATGTGCAAGGAAAACATATCGTACCAATTCAATCAATCTACAGGGAGTTAGGTATTTCGCATTCTCTTCGATGAAAATTAATGTTACTTTCTTTGGAGTACGGCACTGAACAAATTTAGTTTCTTCGATGAATGAATCAATTATTTCAGTTTTTTATAATTGCAGTGTTCTCATTAGTTTTCTTGGTTTCCGAGATATCTTACAGAATTGATAATGGTGATCCTCCATATTTGTTTATGATTATGACGATTATCAAGTTTTGCAAGTGTTTTTGAGTTCAGTTATTTACCACAATATTCATGTTTATGAACTACTTCAACATGAATGATGATGATGTTGTTTGTCATCATCAAATTTATTTATTTTTTCTCGAATAAAGTTTTTCACCAGAAATCCTGTACTGAAATTTGTGAGATCATTGATTTTGTCATTCTTTGAATCATCAAAAATTGGTCAGTGCCGTACTCCAAGAAAGTTACATAAATTTTTATCGAAGAGAATGCGAAATACCTAACTCCCTGTATACATTGATATTATTAATTGAATTGGTACATGTTTTCCATGTATATCCACATATTCACAGAGCAGTACCTCCCAAATATTTCGAAATATTGAAGAAAATGTGTGGAAATAAAATTGTTCATCGCCATCTCACGGCCCAACGATGAATTTTAGTATGGAGGTAACTTATGACCTCGAAAATAACTGTAAAACCGAAAAATGGGTGCACGCACAGTATTACAAATACCATTGTGCACCTAAAAATATTAGCAATAATGAAATGCTTAGTCTGTTATGATGATGTTTAATTAATAGATGTAAGAATAGCCCTAGTTGTCTGTGATAACTTGAAACTTCAACTGTATAACTATAGCATAAATAACATTAGTATTATCTCAGAAACCTTGTAACTTGTACCTGCTAATAAATATTATTATTATAATATTATTATTATTTAATTTCAATCGGCCTATTTTGGTCTCTAGTTTACCCTGTAAAATTCATGATATGTTGTTATGGTACTATTAAATAAGTGATATGAAAGGGGGATACTTGGTATTGTTTGAAACCCGATAAATAGGTAGGTACCTGATAACCATAGATATATTTGCCATTTTGCTTGTTTTCAGCACGATAGTCTCCTCCCAATGTTTTCAAAATTATTATTATTTAACAAACACAACTATTAGACTAATTAACTCAACAACCTCTAGAATAGCAATAAATTTTGAATAAAATAAATCCACAGTGAGGTTTATCGAAATATCAAGAGGTAGCATTTGATGTTTTTAGCGAATTTAATACCTATTTTGAAAACCAGGATTTGATTTGTAAAGATGTGTTTCATGGTTTTGCAGTGAATGACAAGAAGAAAATGGCCTGTAATCCTGACATATCTGCATAAATGAGAAGGAAGCTAGAAAGAATATGTGGAAATAATCTTAGAGTTGCATGAGGTAGGTCGAAAAATCCAAAACTATTTTGACATATTGACTGTGGGTTTTATTGGTATAATGATGTTAGTACAGGAGAATGGAAAATATCCTATGGTATACTAACATAGGAGCACTTGAACTTTCGTATTTGTTTAGCATATTTTTGAACACTTGACACGTGGTGTGAACAACTTTGATAATTATTTTCGAATAGTGATCGAATTAACAATAATTGTAGCTTTTGGATGCGGCGTTCAAATGAAAAATCAGGACATTTTTTCAAAAGTTATGACGACTTGGGAATTGTTAAGAATTCTGGCCCACTTTTATTCCTTTGCTATTCTGTCCGTAGAAGAGATTAGGTAACGCAAAGGATGAATCACTGATTATAATAGATATAGTTACTGAGAATCTCATCAACTGTATATTTTGCTAATCAATTCTTCAAGACCTGTATACATAGATCTTTATTAGCAATAAACTCACCTCTTGCAGATATACAAAGTTCGTGATTCCAGATAAGGCATTGAATATATATCGATGTCCAAGAATGATCCACAACATTTGTATAACTTTCAGTCCATTGAGGGCACCTAAACGATTATCTGCTATGTCTGGTGATGAAAAAAGCTGCTTTCCATTCCTTAATACCGAGAAAGCTACCAATATGTTATCATCTCCTACAAAATAGAGGATGTTTCCATGAAGAGGTCAGGCATGATTTTAACCCTGAAATGCATTATTTTTTTGGATTTTGTCGCCAAATATGTCTGAAGCGCATTTCTATTCCAGAACGAGTGAAAATCATCGAGAAAAATTGAAAAATACAAATTTCATTTCAATATTGTTGTCTCAAAGATATCTGATTGTTGCATACGTGCATATGTGAATTTTGAATTCGATAGCGGAAAGCGAATTTTTAAAAAACAACGAGTAACTATGATGAACTTTATTCAAGAGATGAACAATTGAGAAAAAGCCGGCAAATAATGAATGCAACTGGTTTTATTAAACAAATGTGCTGAGTCGGGTGCATCTCTGATGCTGGTGGAGAGGGTACACGTGGCTTCCCATAACTCCTCCGCCCTTAGAGTGAAATCTGGGGGTTGACAACAGGTTTCCTTGCTAGGGTGCTGTCTGACTGGTCGGCATTACCCTGTATATACTGCGTTCTGGATTGGATGAATCTTCGATAGTAGAAGTATGCGACCGCTGCTACTGCGATGGCCATGAAGAGATAGATGACTATGGTCCAAACACTTATGCCAAAATGGATTTTCTCTTTTGACATATTTCTGATTCTTTGGTGCTGATGGTCCAAGGATGCGGCAATGTGTTTTACTTCGTCGAGGCTAATGCTGTCTAATTTCAGGGGTTGAAATTCTTCAAGAGTATTCTTGATCACTGGAAGATTTATGTCTAGTTTTGGTAGTTCAATGTTCTTGTAGACACTACGCGAGTTTTGATAGTTTCTGATATGAATGTCCTCAATATCTAGAACACACTGTGAATAAAGTTCCAAAATAAATGTTCCTTTAATAGGTATATATTGTCCGTTTGGGATCCACACTTTTGCTTGACCAGTGTAGTTTTTGGTGAAACTACAATCCACTTATTATCTTCAAGTTTCTGCAGTTTTATTGACTTTATGTCAACAGGGATCGGTTGGCAGCTAGTGATGTTGTTTGAATATTTCAGCATCTGAATTTCGCATGGGGCATCTTCTTTTATCTTGACAGGGCTTGATTCGTGGCATAAAAATTGTTCAGCTGAGACTTCTTGACATTTTTGATCGAAGAACATGTAATTTTGCTCATTTAGGATGAGGAACTTCGATTGGGGTATAATAGTTTGATACATCTTATTATGGAAAGTTGGTAATGGATAGAGGTGGAAATAATTGTAATTTTCATTCTCAACAATTGGGACTTCTATAATGAAAATAATTTGATTGCCTTTTGAATAGCACTTGATTTCTATCACTCTCTCATAAATAAGAATATTTTCTATAGTTGGCTCGAAAGGTAATTTATTCATTTTTAGAACAGGGTTGATCAGTTTCATTTCATTCAAAAGTTCAATTGGTTCTACCATTGAGTTATGGAATGTGTTCAATTTTGAAAACGTTATGGCAATTTCAATTTTCTCAAGTATATCGTACATTTCCTGAAAAGACATAATAATTTGTGATACCAAGGTATGGAATAAAAAGTGATTGTAAGAATTTGTATATTGAATCTTTGTGTCATTCAAGACTTTTTGTATCTGTATGATCTTGGTTTGTAAAGTTTTCTGATTATCAGCCAAAATTTGAGTATTATTTTTGAATATATTAATTGATTTTTGCAAAAGTGTAATCTGTTCATCAACTAACGTTTTGATTTCCATTTGATTGTCAGATAATGCCTCAATTGCTTTGTCAAATTTTTCTGCATCACTTTGGTCTAAATTGCCTGTTATTGATTTGATTATTGATCCTAATCCATCTATTAGTCCGCGTTTAGTTCTGGTTCTATCGTTATTTGAAATAGGGTTCAATTGATCAATTTGGTTCGTTATTCTCTTTTCTAGTGAAAATGCCAAGTTATATAAGTTATAGAATTCTTTTCTGTCAGTTTTTGAACTAAAATTACTCTCAATTGCATCTTTGATTACTTGAAATTTTGATCGAAGTACTCTAAATTCTTCAACTACGTTACTGATATCATATATCTGTATGAAAGACCAATAGTCGACTTTATTTTTAGCGTTTCCTAGTTTCAATGTCAATAGTCCGGGATTGTCAGCAAGGTCATGAAATGTCGGGTAGGTCAATTCTCCGTTTATGTGGAATTCTGTGACGTAGAGGCACGTGGCGAATCTGTAACAATAGGAGGCTTTTTTAATTCCTTGATATGAATAATTTCATTTTTCTTGCTATGCTTACTAAGGATTTCTACTCGATTTCTGTCTAAGATTTTTGTTATCTCGAACGGTCCCAGGAATTTATTATTCTTCTTATTGCGGTTTTGAGAATTTTGTTTATAAACGATTTGTCCTACTACGAAATCTGGATTAGTGTCACCTTGAGTATTTAATTTTGAAATGATTTTCTGTTTGTTTGCTTCTAGAGTCTCTTTTAGATTTGAATAAACGTGTTCTAATTTCTTTTTATGATTTTCGGCATAGTCCGTAAAAAATGAATTTGGAAGAAATATTTCATTAGGGTTTCTTGAATGGGTATGGCCAAAGGTTAGTTCAAATGGAGTATAGTTTGTTGCGCTATGTATTGAGTTATTGTATCCAATAATAGCGTAATCCATTAAATTGTCTTGTTCTTCGGGATACATTTCTTTGAGGATTCTAAGATGTTCAATAATTGTTGAATGGAATCTTTCAACTATACTGTTTGATTCGTGATGAGCTGTTGTTGTGAAATGAATTTTGATCTTGTGTAGATTCAGTATTTCTTTGACCGTTTCGTTATTGAATTCAGTGCCATTATCAATTATACATTTTTCAGGAATTCCAAAAGATGAAAAATACTTGATTAGGGCATTACTAACATTTATAGCGGTTTTTCCAGCTATTTGAAATGCTTGCGCGAATTTTGTGAATGAATCTACTAGTGTTAAATAGTTTTTATTATCATAAAAGAAGAGGTCTATATGAACTATCTGAAAAGGCTTAGAAGGTGTTTCTGTTATCATTAGTGGAGTATATGGTTTTTTCCTAGCGTATTTCGTGCGTTGACAAATTTCGCATGAATTTATGAATTTTGTGACCGATTCTTTAATTCCTATCCAATAGTAATTCTTCTTGATTTTTTCCAAGGTTTCGGATATACCTCTATGGTTAGTTTTGCTTTCGTGGTGATTTTTGAGAATTGCAATTTGTTCGTCTTTGTCTTGTACGGTGTTCACTCTTCGTGTGCATTTAATTAATTTTGGTCCTCGTTCTGAGAATTTCTCAATGTAGACTTTATTGAAAGATTGATATAGTTTATCTGTATGGAAGTGCATACAGTATGTCTTGCCAGAAATGGTGTAGTCTCTTAAAAATTCTAGAATCAATGTGTCATTATCTGTTTCTGGGATTTCGATTGTCACGATTTTATGGTGTTCATAGTTTTCTTGTGAAACTTTGAGTCTAGGGTAAATTTGAGGAAATACTAATATTTGGTTTACTTTATTGTTAATTATTTCGTCTAAAATTTTTATGCCATTGTTAGTAGTTTCATTGAAGGTCGAATGTTGTGTTGATGTACCAGTGTCGTCGTTAGTGATTTTGTCAGGGGGTTGAACAGGAGGCTGGACTTGTATGTCTGAAATGACTTGTATTTTTGGTGTCACGATCTTGTCATGTTCGGGAGGTTTGTTTTTCGGTGGTTCAAAGTATTGGGATAGATTTCGGAGGTATTCGAGGGTCTCTGAGACTATGTCACCAGGGTTATTGATCACTGATTCGTCGTCTAAAGCATTTATGGTAATTCTCGAAAGAGCGTCTGCGTTAGTATTTTGTTTTCCGTTTTTGTATACAATGTCGTAGTCGAATTCTTCTAATTTCAGTCTCCAGCGAATTAATTTCGAATTTGGTTCTTTGATGTTGAAAATCCAAACTAATGGTCGGTGATCTGTATAAATAGTGAATTTTCTACCAAATAAGTATGGTCTGAAGTATTTACAGGCCCATACAATAGCAAGAAGTTCTTTTTCTATAGTGCTATATCGTTGTTCAGTTTCGTTTAGTGTTCGTGAAGCGAATGCTATAGGTTTGTCAGATCCGATTTGTCCGATTTGAAAGTACTGCTCCTAGGGCAATATTAGATGCGTCCGTAGTTAAAATGAATTTTCTTGAAAAGTCGGGATATTGCAAAATTGGTGAATTTGAAATGAGATTTTTACAAGTATTGAAGGCAGATATAAAATTTTGATCATGAACAACTTTGTGATTCTTTTTCAAACATTGAGTTAGAGGTTTCGTGATTTTAGCGAAGTCTCTAATGAATTTACGGTAATAACCTACTAGTCCAAGAAAGCTTCTTTCGGCGTCGTAGGAATTGGAAATTTTTTGATTGCTGAAATTTTCTCAGGGTTCGGCTTGACGCCGTCTGGAGTTATAACGTGTCCTAAATAATTTACTTCTTTCCGAAGGAATTCTGACTTGTCAAGTTGTACTTTAAAATTTGATTGTCGAAGTCTGTCAAAAATATTTCTCAGTCTCTCAATATGTTCTTGAAGAGATGTACTGAATATGACAATGTCGTCTAGGTATACCAAGCATGTCTCATTTTGAAGTCCTCTTAGGATATTATCCATAACACGTTGGAACGTACTTGGAGCATTTTTGAGTCCGAAAGGCATTCTTTTGAATTCATAATGCCCGTTTTCAGTCGAGAAAGCTGTCTTTTGTACGTCATTCGGGTTCATCTCAATTTGATGAAACCCATTAGCTAAGTCCAGTGTTGTGAAGTATTGACTTTTTCCGAGTTTGTCTAATATGTCCGTTATGTTTGGTAGGGGGTATTTGTCATCTATAGTTTTTTCGTTCAATTTACGATAGTCAATTACTAGTCGCCATTTTCGTTGTCCTGAAGCGTCAAGTTTTTTTGGGACTATCCAAATTGGGCTTGACCAAGGAGATGTAGAGTTTTGAATTATGCCTTGATCTAACATTTTATTAATCTGACTTTTTACTTCGGTTCTATGGATTTCGGGATATCTGTATGTCTTTGTGAAAATTGGTGATTCGTCAGTCAAGTTAATTTTGTGTTGGATATTGTTGGTAAAGGTCAGGGGTATTTTGTCACAATAAAAGATGTCACGGTATTCTAAACATAAATTTCGGATAGCTTGTCTTTCTTCATTATTACAGTGATCAAGACGAAGGTTCTTCAAATTAGATTTTAGAACATTATCTTGTTCTTGGTCCAAATAATCATCGGTTTCCATTTTTTCAATAAAATTGAGTTCACAAATATTCAAAATTTCGATATTGAAAGGGTTATTGATTTTGATTTTCACTGATTCAGAACTTGAATTTGATATTGATGTGATCGCAAAATAGTTTTCGATATTTACAACTGCGCGGGGAGATTCTATTTGTTTATCAAAATGTATATAGTCCAGGTATCCTATGCCTTTTTCGTGGTTGACTGGTATTTTAACGATCTTACTAGTTCTTGCAGGAATATCTAAAATGTAATTGTTCAATTGAAGTAATTGCGTTAATTCCTCAGATTCGTAAATTATAGGAATTTTGACATATGGAGTTGTTATTGATTTTGATTGAATATTTACTGAAGCATGTAATTGTTTCAATAGGTCTATGCCAATCAGGCCATCATATTTTTGACTAAAATTGAATAGATAGAATTTATGTGATTCATTTACTTTGAAAACTTTAAAAACAGGGATTATCATAACTTCGTTGTGGTAACTGATGTTATGAGCCGTTTGTATATTGAAATCTTCATTGAAAATAAAATGTCTGTAAAATTTGTAAGCTAAATTTGGATTCATAAGGCTTCTTGTACTACCAGTGTCAATCAGGAAATTAGCATTTAGTTCAGGAATGAAAATGTATGGTAAATTTGCTTTTACTAGATTTATGTTTAAAATCATGTTTGAGTCTCTGGGTATCGATCTACTTGAAAATTTACTTGGTCATAATTCGGTGATGAAAAATTCTGATGTACTTGTTGATTTGTTTCTTCACTTGGAAGATTGTTATACTGTGAATAATCGGGATCGGATTGGTCGTTACAGTAACCGTTTTGATCATAGTCGTAGTAATCATTGTCAAAATTTTCTTCTGGTGTGTTTGTGTTCTCGAAAGGATTATCGAATTCTTCAATGTCTTGCGCGTAAAGTTGAGTATTAGTAAATGGTTTTTGGATTTGAGTAAAACGGGTATTTCCAGATGATGTATCCATTGGTTCAGGTTGGAATGTTCTTCTGGTTATTTGACTTTGAGGTTGATTGCGAGTCATTTGACTATTATTAGGTCTGAATTGATTTTGACTATTTTGAAAGGGTTGTCTTTGAAAATTATTCTGCATTTGTGGTCTCTGAAAATTGTTTTGGAATGAGGGTGATTGAAAATTATTTTGATATGGTGGTCTTTGGAAAGAATTTTGGAATGGTGGTCTTTGGAAGGTATTTTGAAATGGGGGTCTCTGAATATTATTTTGGAAAGGTCTTTGGAAATTAGGTGATTGTGTTGTTCGTGGGTTTTGTCTATTATTCATCGGAGTAAGTCTCTGTCCGGGTCTATACATGTTTTGTGTATTAATAGAATTACTTTTTGATGCACTGTATAGAAAATTTTCCTCTTCAATTACTAAAGACATGGCTTTTTCCAAGCTATCTGGATTGCGAAGCCGTATATTATTTTGCAATTGACTAGGAAGTCCTCTAATAAACGTTTTGAGTGCTAAATCGTCATAACTTTTGATTCTGATGCTTTTCTCTGTCATAGATAGATTTTCTGAATTTACTTTAGATATCAAAAGGCTTCTAGAATCCTGGCAACGCATACCAAAGTTATAGGGAGATTCGTTTCTGAAAGGACTCAAAGCAATTAAGTCTTGAACTAGACAATCAATGTTTCTTTGATCTTCGAAACTAAGTTTTAAAGCATTTTCGATTTCTGTCCAGGTTTTTAATTCTGTACGTGAACCTATCAAACTGAGAGCTCTGCCTGTTAGTTTTCCAAGAAGTGCTCGTATGATGTATGTATTTAGTTGTGGGTTATTATCACTTCTGAAATTATCAATTAAATTGTCGCAACTACCTAGGAAGATTCCTAATGTATGCGGATTTCCATCAAAATTTGGAATTGCATCTACAAAAAGTCTCAAAAGAGTATAGTTCACATCTGATGGAGGTGCCATCTCGTGTATAGTTTCTAACTTTGAACTCAGTGGATTGAATGAATTTTTCAATAACTCAGTTAATTGGTCGATATCTGTAGCATCTACCATTAAATGTCACAAAAATTGAAAATGAATTCACAATTATTGGGGTTATTGGGAATGGTTGATATGGATATGAGCAAAATCACTTACAGTAGAATTGCTGTCTTCATTTTTCTCGTTTCTTCTTAATCCTAACTTATGCTAACTGGTTTCGGCGATGTGGTCCTCTGCCAGGGTTCCCAAATTTTCGGCGATGTGGTCCTCCAATTCGGGCTGGTGTTGGCGATGTGGTCCTTCACCAGGCTTCTTGATGCTTTGGCGATGTGGTCCTCCGCTTCAAGTGTAGTTTCTCGAGTTTTTCAGTCTTTTCGCGAATCCACTATTTTTTGCCGTTAAACTGTTGATACAGACCGGTAAAAACGCGATTTTTGTCGTCAAAACCGTTGGGCAAATCCTACCGACTGCGCCAATTTTGAATTCGATAGCGGAAAGCGAATTTTTAAAAAACAACGAGTAACTATGATGAACTTTATTCAAGAGATGAACAATTGAGAAAAAGCCGGCAAATAATGAATGCAACTGGTTTTATTAAACAAATGTGCTGAGTCGGGTGCATCTCTGATGCTGGTGGAGAGGGTACACGTGGCTTCCCATAACTTGTGCAACATCTTACGTGGTACGTTATTGAAAAATCTATAATAAGAACAAGAACCGGGTAACTCCATTTCATGCCGAAATTGGGTTATTGTATTCAACATAATATAAATTTTTTTCTTGCGCATCTTTTGGTGCAAGAATCAAGCGAATCCAACAATTTCCTATTAAGTTAACACGGGAAAGGATTTCCAGATGAGCCATTGAGGTGCAAGAGTCGGGCAACTCCAGACATTTGTATCTTATAATGAGTGAAATAATCAGATAAGGAAATTTTTTTTGTCAGATTTTGCAGTTTCAATAATAATACTAAACCCATAGGAAAAATTCCATATCATAGCCAACTAACATGAAGTTGAAGGAGGTATTGGTGTTGGAAAAAGGAGAAAAACTAAATTTTTTTAAAATAGTGTGCATACAAATTATATTGTAAAAACATTGTTGTGAATTATGGTACTAACATGCTATTATTTCATTATCCATAGCACCCTATAGTATTTAAATGCATGTACAATTTCTGATTTCTCCATCATTCTCACAACGACGTGATTCTTCCATTATAACAACAAAATCGTACGTACCAGAAAAAAATACTTTGTAATAAAAACTGAAAAAAATTGGATGTACATACTTCCGGTCAAACCGGAAGTATCATGCTATGTCTGTACTACTCTGTACTAGCAAAACCATGCACTCATGCAGTCAAATCGATGTTCAAAATTCGGGAATTCCGTTCAAAATAGCAACGAAGATACAGGGGGGTAAATTGGTTCCGAGTCACCCATGTAGTTATTTCAAAAATACCTCGTATTTACCTTTCGTAGAGTGATGTATCATCATATCATAGCAAGTACTTATCAACAGCAAGGCGGTATATGCACAAAAGAATGATCTGAAAATTAGAATAGATTAGCAGAGCAAGTCTATACCGGGTGTCCACGTACAATCTCGGTGGTCGAGAGCGTGAAGGCGCTGAGTTCGTATGGGGTCTCCCACCGAGACATAGGTTCGAATCCTAGTTAGGCCATGGATGTTTGTGTTTGTATGTATACCTAACCCCGCACAAGTTTCGACTTATGGGACGTTTGGTCCTAGTGCTGGGACCAACGAGGTATGCAATTGCAAAAAAAAATGTGGAAAAAAGCTCTATAACTCCATTGTTATTAGAGATTGAAACAATCTGTTTGGAGATATTGAACTGTATCATGAGGTCAACAAATTATTTTGATATCTACAGGATGTTTTTTGAACGCGCGGGGCTACAAGAATTATAATAATAATAAATCGACTTTATTTATAAAGATTTGATGAAAACATATACATTTGTAATGATCATCAAGGAGCGAAATTTAGCCAGGCTACTCTTTCATCTAACCCCATAATGATCTGCATAAAAGTTAGCAGGTAACAACAGATTATGTAATAATTACATGGTTACATTACATGATTACAGTCCTTTACATCTTCAAATCCTTCCATTTACAACAGAATACTTATCTATTCAGATCGGTATAGGTCCGCTAAGAGATTATGCTTGAAAGTAGACTTAGTAAGGTTCATCATAGTTTAAAGTAATGATTTGATCAATTTAACTGCATTGTAAGTGAATCCTTTCTTTACAGGTTGTTTCACAGGTAAAGGGAAATATTTCAATGGTAGATAGGGGTCACCAAGGTGGATATGAAAATACCATAATTGATAGGTCTTAGAGTCTTCATAACGGAGATACAGGGCGATTTATCGATTTCGAATAATTATTTATTCGTCTAAATGTATTGCCCTACCCAGTATATTTTTCTCAAATTTGGGATGTTAAATTCATTCACCTATCGGGTGGAGTGAAAATCCAGGTTCGCCGTCAGGAAAAATTTACATTTTTTCGAAATATTAAAATAACACACTGTATATATTTAATAATTGACACAGTACATCGAAAGAATTATGAAGAGGAGGATAAACTGAATTGGGTTTGATACTTTCTGTTTTCCTGCCACCAATTCTCATCGTAACAATCATAGACAGAAAGTTGAAAGTATGTCAGTTTGAAGAGTATTGAAATTATGAAACCAGTGTCAATTATGATTATTCGATATATTTTAGTCAAAAAATCGCTCGAAAGAACTTATTAAGTCTCACGCAGTCTTTATAACGGAGGTACAGCGTGAATTATCGGTTTTGAATAATCATTAAACTACCCAGTAACATTTTCTCAAATTTGGTATGTAACTTACTTGGGACGATGGATTCATCAACCTATCAGGCGGAGAAGCTGAACCTGTATTTCCATTCTGCCTGATAGGTCAATGAATTCATCGTCCCAAGTAAGCTCAATACCAAATTTGACAAAATATTACTGCGATGGGTAATTATTTAATACTTATATGGACGAGTGAATAATTATTCGAAACCGATAATTCACCCTGTATCTCTGTTATAAAGACTGTGAGACTTAGTAAGTTCTTCCGAACGATCAAACAACAAGAATATATCAAATAATCATAATTGAAAGTGGTTTCATAATTTTAATTTTCTTCAAATTGACATACTTTTAGCTCTCTGTTTATGATTGTTTATGATTGTGACGATGAGAATTGGTGGCGGGAAAACAAAAAGCATCAAATTCAGTTCAGCTTTTCCTCCTCCTCACGATTTCATTAAAACTCTGTCAATTATCACATACAGTGTGTTATTTGAATATTTCGAATAAATGTAAATGTTTCCTGAAGCCGAACCTGAATTTTCACTCCGCCCAATAGGTCAATGAATTCAACGTCCCAAGTATAAGCTCCATACAAAATTTTTGAAATATATACTGATGGGTAGTTTAATACTTATAGACGAATGAATAATCATTCGAAATCGATAAATCGCCCTGTATCTTCGTTATGAAGACTGTAAGACCTATCAAATATGGAACACCCTGTATTTTTTACATCTTTCGATTCATCATCATCTTTTCCAGTAATCCATGTCTTGTTTCCACTATTATTATGCGGCGCTGCCAAGTTAATTGCGCCTGCTGATCTTCATTTTCTTAATTTCTATCCCAAAAAACTTCGATGATACTTCGACTACCTCTTCAATGAAGTAACTATCAAGAGTTATCTTACAGGATGGGTTAAAATAAACAACGAATATTAACCTTCTCGAATGGTCGTAACGTTGTATTGATTTCAAAAGGGACATCCTGCATATTCCAGTAGAAATGCATTCCTTATTTTATTTTCTTTCATCTGATATCATGATCGTAGATCGAAAGTTTTCAGTTTTCGAAAAATTCACATAATTTCATTTTCAAATTGATAATAGCAATAAGTATCCCAAAAATATCGTAGGTAATAACAGAATAACACTTCAATATATCGACGAAATGATATGATTTATATCGATATATTGAGATCGTCCACCAAAACATATATATTTATTTACAGAATTATTACATCAACTCAATTGATAAAATCACGGGTTGATGTTAGTTGACCGAAAGTCAATTCGTCGAAGTCAATTCGTCGAAAGTCAATTGGCCGAATACGCCAATTCGCCGAATACGTCAGTTGGACTAAATTTGGTAAATTCGTCGAATTTCATAATTATGTCACCTGATTGTCAAGTGGATAGTCTTGAATGCAGAATGGCGTGTTTCATGCAAACTGAAAAATTGAAAAAGAAGCTATACTTCGAAGGCTATATGTATGTACGAGATTCAGAAAGGAATGAAAAAACTTATTGGAGATGTGACTTTAAGAAAACTTGCAAAGGGCCTCTCCCAACATCGAATGATTTCGTTTTACCCGATGAATACAAAACAACTTCGAGGGGTGATGATTTCCTAGTGCAGGATTTTAGAGGAAATGGCGAGAGGATATTGATTTTTGCAATACGAAAAAATTTTGAAGTACTTCAAAAAGCTCATGTATGGTTTGCAGACGGAACTTTCAAGGTAGTACTGAACATTTTCAAACAGCTTTATACGATTCATGCATATGTGATGGGATTGTTTGTCCCATTGATGTACGCACTTTTATCCAATAAAAAGAAACAAACATACATGACTATGTTAGATATTTCGAAGCAACAAGCTGATTTTCCGAATCTACAATCTATCATATGTGATTTTGTCGGAGCAATGAATGCTTTCGATGTATCATTTACGAATATTAATATTCGAGGATGTTTGTTCCATCTTCGCCAGAATGTTTAAAAGTCAAAATGATGACGGCTCTGGCTTTCGTTCCATGTGAACATGTTATAAGATATTTCGAATGTCTTTCCGAAGTTTTTCCTCCAGAACCTTTCGCAGTTTCAGACTACTTCGAGGATACATATATAGGTCGTTTACGAGGAAGACGACGTGGAAAACCAATTTTTGCCATTGATGTTTGGAAAGTATATGAAAGAGTCAAGAATGATCTGCCTAGATCGAATAATGCTATAGAAGCATGGCATAGAAGATTTGGAAGTTTGATTTCTTGTAGTCATCCTTCCATATGGTATATACTGAATGATAAGAAAAGAACAACAATATTTTGAACGTAAAATAGAACAGACGTTTGCTGGAAATGACGAGAAACGTATGAAAATATATGTCGATCTAGACAAGAGAGTCAAATCTGTTGTAGATGAGTTTGAAAATACTGAACCTGTCGATTACTTGAGAAGTATTGCTCATAATCTCAAATAATGTATTATTGATTGCTATTTATAGAAATAATAGAATGTATCGAATCGTTGAATGATTAAAAAATAAAGTGTAACAAAACTGGCATGTTCATTAATTTTCTAATATTTCCCATAATGTTATAGAAGATGCATCAGTTCAAGGCTAGTGATGGGGATTTTACTAAGGTTCTTGACTCTTCTTCTCACTTCAGGGATGAAACAAGAAAGGAGACTCAACACTGACGGAAGTAATAATGGAAACCCGAATAATATCTTTGCTTATTCAAGAATCGAGTGAGAAATATGGATTCCCCAAAAAAAAATCGGCCAATTTAGTCCAACTGACGTATTCGGCCAATTGGCGTATTCGGCCAATTGACTTTCGACGAATTGACTTCGACGAATTGACTTTCGACGAATAGACTTTCGGTCAACTAACATCAACCCTAAAATCACAAGTGATTATCAAAATTATGTGTCATTACTGACTCACCAAAAACTTGGATCCATATTGTTCATCAATTGTCACAAAAGTCAAAAGTCTGATTTAGCAGAATAACATATAACATGCTTACTACATGAACATTACAGCAATGATCAATGATGGCATGAAAGAGGAAATTCGAAAAAAAAAGGTCTATATCTGGAGTAATACAGACTACTGACACAATAAACGAAAGAAATCAGATGGAAGAGAATGTGAATAGGAATGCATCTCCGGTGATATATACAGGGTGTTCCACTTGAAACAACAAAGCTATGATCATTTGAAATAGTCAACATTAGCATTCCATTATAATTGATTCTGTGAGATAACTCTCAATTATATGATTTCATTAAGTATCATCGAAGTTCGCGCATAATTTTCGATCAACATTTCGAAAACAAAAAATGAGGCATGTTGTTATAGACAATATAACGACATTTAAAAAAGTCATAATTCATGTGTAACCCTGCGCTCACAGAATCTCCTGTAGAGGTCGAAATAATTTTGATTCGTAGACTGTATGCCCAATAAGATTTTGTCTATATCTCATCACACTACAGCTATAAAGATTTTCCACACTACGAGGACATTCGGTATATGAATAGGCAAGAACACTAATGCGTAAATTCAATTTTGATGTGCATATACAGGGTGTCCCGTCTTATCTTATCTTATCATGTCGGAAAATTGATATCATTCATCAGGAATTCTTCAGGGTGAGTCAGAATAAGAGTTATGTTCCTGAAACCGGACCTGTCTATGGAGACAATGCGATGACATCCAGAATGCAGAGTCAGCTTCCTACCGGACTTTATCTTTCTATTTTTGCTGAATATTTTCATACCATGAATTATCTTCTAAATCATAATATAAAAAGGAAATATATATTCTATTGAACATTCCATTTTTGTCACTTGTAGCCTGCATTTTCAACTTCATTAAAAACGCATCGAGAAAAGACAATCTTTTATTGTGTGTTGAGTGAATGTTGAGAAAGAGTTATTCAATACAAAATTGGTTTCAAAACTACGAAGGTGCTTCTACGAACCACAACTGCTAGGGGCACAAACGTAACTTAAGACCGACAAACTGCGTATACGGATCAGGATTCCTTACCCTGTGTCAGAAGTACGGAAGAAATCAAGGTTGATTTCTTCGGAACCCCTGGAGTAAAAAAAAGTAACTTGGTATATTATTCCAGATTATAATCAATGTAATCACATGGAGTTTCCAATTATGGGTTTTGGTTTTCCGTGACGTAGTTACGGTTGTATGTCGCCACATTTTCCTTCTGAATTTTTCTTAGACAGATGGAATGTCAAATTGTTGTGTGACATTAGTTGCGTTTTATTTACCCGATTCCTCTATCGGAATTAGAGTCACTGGATGTTATTAGTTTGATAAGAGTTCGGACACAGAAATGACAACGGTTAGAGTTTTTGAATGTTTATATTTATCAAGTTACACACCTTGCATTGTGACATGAGCACCATAGTCGTCTCGCGCTTTTTCAATCAAAGCTGTTTGAGTTTGACAATACATTTTATAAACGTCAGAATTGAAATAAAATTTCATAATTATACATTCGAGATGAAATCAGCTATGGAAATCACTTGCTGTGTAATGAATTGTGCCAATTCTGAAAAAAATGGATATCATTTATTCAATTTTCCGAAACAAATATCAACCATTCGCTTATGGAAGGAAGATATGAAATGGCCTGGGTTCAAAATCAATTTGAAGACGAGCGAAATTTGTGAGGTACTCATTGAAATTCACTTTCTATAACTGATTAGAATGAAACTATATTTTGGGCCCATTTTCAAACAGATGATTTCAAAATCTGTTGTTCCATCAATTTACAAAGCAGACGATTTCAAGAACAAAATTCCATTATTATCATCACACAAAATACAAAACAAAATAAAAAAAGGGGAAATTATCGCAAAATTACATAATGAAATTGAGAATTTGAAAACGAAACTAAGAAGAGCAAGTCAACTACAAAGTGATATATTATTGAATGGCGTTTTTGGTGCCGACCAAATTCAAAATTCAACAGTGAAAAGTGAATAGATATTCATGTATCAAGGGAACTATTATAAGGGCCTTAATAACGCTAGAGGTTATCGTTTTGGATTTCATATATCGATCCATGTTACTCAGCTCCTAGGGCGCTAAGTGAAGTTGCTGAGAACTTTACAAAACCAAGTATTTGGTAGGTCTAGTCGAAATAACTTACTTTTTTCCTATCAAATGTTCATCGAAAAATCATTTGTTTTCTGTATTTCAACAACCTGTATCTCCGAAATGAAGCAATTTCGGACACAAGCTTATATAGACTTTATTTCTTATAATTGTCTCAGGAATACTTCACTTGAAAGTACTGCATATTGAGAATACCTATACCTATAATTTAATATACATAACTTCATGTTTCATACTTATCACTGGAGTACAGTTTCACATACAATAAGGAATTATAGCTATAAGTTTATCCATATGTGTTTATTTTCTAATATTGAAATATTGTTACATGCATTCTTTTCATTTAACAGTTATTCTGCTATAATTTGAAGTGGGTGTTTGTACCCTATACCCATTGTCCATCTACGGCTATGATTGATTTGACAGAAAATTTAACCTCTAAAATCGTATTTGACAATAAGGCGCTACTAGGGAAATTGAACTTAAACCATTGTATTATAGAAAATAGAAAAGGACAAAAGTTCAGCTGTGTCCGAACTCTTATCAAACTAATACTATCCAGTGACTCTAACCGGAATCACTTAGATGTGTCGTTTTATTTACAACTTTTCCGATTCCGGTTGCTTCTCAATCCGTCTCACTACAAGGAATGACGTGGAATGACTGTTGACATTTGTCAAAAAATTATATTGCATTGACGAAAAACTAAACACTAAGACAGGTTTCATATATTCATTCCCATATAAAATTGATTCTCTCGATCTCAGAAGAGAGTTTCTCTAATCACCACCATCACTGCTCCAAATATTCCTTGATTGATTTTCTAGATTCATGAATTTGAAATTATTTGGAGCCACAAAATATGAATATAACCTCTTATGTGAATTCTCCCATGCAAGGTCATGAAGTTTCTCGTTTCATTTGTACTCGTCATCCTGTTTCCACCACCGCTACCAGAATAGAATAAATAAAATGCAACTATTGGTTCTGCTTATTGATACTTCACCTAAGAGTAATGACATTCCACATGCCTAAATATAGCGGTTCCAGAGATATTGACGAAAATCAAGACATATTTCTTGATGTGATATTGAGTTGAGACCTAATTTTCTGCGTGCATAACGCTGAATTTTTACTAGATAACTGAAAATGCACCAACAGCCTGAACATTCTTTGAACCTTTGAACATTGGAAACAGTAGGTACGAGCACGGGTTAGTCAGAAGTAGGTCGACCAACTTGAATTTTTCCACACGTTATCTCAAGGTGAACAGTTTATATCGATTTCTGTCCTAAAGTGCAACCTATTTCAGATACTATTTGATAAGTATGTGGACAAAATTGAAAATGACATTTTTTTTCTTCAACACGTAGCACTATATTATCTCAAGAAATTTCTTATGTTTTTCGCAAATATCTCAGGAACCTCTACATTTAGGCATGTAAAACGTAATTTCTCTATGATAGAGTATCAATAAGCCTAACTGATGTCATACACAAAGACATTCAATCTGTCAAAGAAAAGATATTGTAATGATATTCCCCTTAGAGGGGCTCTACAAACATCAGCAGGAAGGCAGGAGTACAACGATCCTGTAACACGCATCCTAGAATGTTCTCCAACCTCCCAATGATTCTTACATGAACCAGCATATTTCCGAACACTCAATATATGCCGCGGTGACAAATAACGTGACAGAGGATTCTGGAATGTTCTGGAAACAGTTGATGGAACAATTAGAGAGAGAGAGGTATTGTTCTAAGAAGCTTCTAGAACAGAAAGAAGGAGACGAAAGATCAATCGATAACGTTCTCGAACCAAAGCCTACCAAGGGATCTCATAGATAAACGGACGGACAACTGCCGTCACGCAGTGAAGCAGCGAGTGTCAGAGAGACAGTCATATAACGCGTGATATAAATCGTTTTACATAAATACTAGTTATAAGTTCGATATAAATTAGTGTTTCTTAAGTTAAAAATAAATCAGTTCGAGAATAAATAGTGTCGTGTTCGCTTCTGCACCCGAATAACATAACAATATGAAGGAAGATTTGTCGACATACGACCGTAACTACGCAACTAGTGATCACAATTCAAAAATGGAAACTCCATGTGACTATACACTGATTAATCTGGAATAGCATACCAAGTTGAATTATTTTTCCTCCAAGAGTTCCGACTAATATAATATGAACCTTGATTTTTCTCGTACTGTTGACACCCTGTATCTGAGAAAAGATGCATTTTAGGACATACGTTGGTGAGAATTTTTTTTATGTTCTGGTTCCCACGAAAAGGGATATTCTGTAATGTTCAGAGAACATCTTCTTAAATTTCTGGAGGTTATATGCCTCGGGAACACCTCCCTTGGCAATGTGTTCCAGAGCCTCGCTGTTCGTTGGATGAACGAGTTTTCGGAAAGAGACGTTCTACAGGTCTCCAAAGTGACCACGAAGGGGTGCGAAGCCTCAACTCGACGGGTTAATCTCGCGGGGACTGCCAGGGAGGAACAATTGCTGATATTTCAGAATCGTCCATGAAAATACCTATAAAATAGAGCCAGGTCGCCAACTTTTCTACGGTGTTCCAGAGAAGTAAGTGAGTTTGTGAGCGAGGCATCACCCACGAGACGAATTGCCCTTTTTCGGACAGAATCCAACAGTTTCAGGATGTGTTTGGGTGCTGCACTCCAAATATGGGAACAGTATTCCAGGACAGGTCGGATCTGTGCCTTATAGATCATAAGCAGCTGACTGGAGTTGAAATAGCTCCTGACCCGAAACATAAAATCAAGTTTTTGGGATGCACTTTTAGCAATCGATCTCACGTGATTTTATCAAGAAAGGTTATTGCTGATGGTAATACCAAGCAACGAGATGGGTGTCTTCAAAGATATGGTTACTCCTGACAAAGCTTATGTTGGGCACAAAAAAATGAGGGAAGAAATCCGTATACTGAGTTTGTCGGTCTTATTCTGACTCATCCTGTATAAACTGGGATTTTTGCGAGTATGCATATAAAGAACCTTACTTACATTATATATTTGTCTTCATAGAATGGTAGTATTGCCTTTTCTTCATTCCTACAATTGTAGTCATAAATATCCGTTCGAATAGGCAACTTCAAAGTATTTTCGGCATGTTGTGATATATTTCGCAAATTGTCTGAGGAACATGAATGTGGTATACATAATCCATAACTTATTTTCATCAACTGCATCAGCATATCCAGCGAGTTATTGCTTATTTTCAATCCTATGGATTTCACGAACTGGAAAATATCGTAACTATAAAATTTCTAATGGAATAAATCCATGTTATCCAAAATGGGCACATGTACGTTTATAGAACGTTCATTCAACGTTGAATTGGTTGAACATACGTTATCCCTTGATTTTCAACATTGTCAATTTGCAGGGTATCACATGATGTTGTAGTTATTTTGTCGCGATCTAGTGGCATAGATCTAAGGTAGGATCATGCAAGATCACGACACCTGTATATGGCGCTGCCATATACAGGGTGAGTCAGAATGAGACCTACAAAGTTCGTACACGGATTACTCTCCTCATTTTGATGTGAAACATACATACAGGGTGTCGAAAGTACGAAAAAATTAAAATTTCTCTAATTTTCTCCAGAACCCCTCTAGCAAAGAATATGAAACTTAGTATACCGATCCAGATTGATCAGGGTATACTCACATAGGGTTTTCATTTCTCAATTTTGTCAACCACTGTCGTAGTGTGGGTCGTATATCACCACATTTTCCTTCATATTTTTCCTTAGACAGATGAGTTGTCAAATTGGTGTATGACATCAGTAAGTCTTATCAATAACTAATCTGGAAGTAATTACAATCTGCATGACAAAGTGTAGATATTTGCAAAAACTAAAAATATGTCTTGAGGTTGAGACCCAATTCGCTGCTTGCCATAATCGCATAATGCTGAACTCATATGTAAAAACAAGATTTTTCAATGTTGATAAGATCAAAATCATTGTGCGAGTGAGTCAGAAATGCATATTCGATTATACACCTGTAGAATCTGTAGTAGATTTAACTGCTGGAATTTTAGCAGCAGGCATGGTAATCCATGATGAGAAGATGTCAATTATATATTGAACAAACGCCACTGGTTGACGAAATTCAAAAATGAAAACTACCTGTGATTACTCTGATCAATCTGGATTGGAATACCAAGTTTCAATTTTTTTGCTACTTTGGGTTCTGATGGAGAAATTTGAAGAAATCTTGACTTTTTTCGTATTTTCGACACCCTTTATCTCAGTGAGGATGCATTTTAGGACATACGTTGATAGTAACTTTTTTTCACCTCAAAATGAGGTTAGGAATCCGAGTGCGAAGTTTGTCGGTCTTATTCTGACTCACCCTGTATAGTCACACGTACAGACCTCTACGTCATTACGCTGGCAGGTGGTACTACAAGAAAACCACTCTGCTGACTAACTGACTAATGGCCACTTTATAAAAAACTCTAAGATTTATCACCTAACATTTGAGGCTTATGACAGATGGAACGAACATGGAAACATCATTGGTTATGTTATAAAACCATATAAGACTTATGATTTAACATTTAAGATTTAAGAAGATGACCAACTTCCAACTAAAGAAGTGCTGATAAATGATCATAAATGGAATAAGGAGTGCGCATCCAAATGTGACATCTCAATTTCCCGCCATTCAGTAATAATTCAAAATAACTTGTGTTGTTATTCCTGAATATTCGTTTTTCTTCTGATGGATACTGAACCGTTCTTCAAAAACACACTAGAATGTCCGAAGTTGCCTCTATATTTGGCAAAAGATCCAAGGAGTGAGCTAGTTTCTGTTAGGCAAGGAATAGTGATTATTTTTTACTTTCAACATGATGTGGAGATATATATAATGGATGTGGGTTCCATTATAGGGATATGAATATAAATCAATAAATTATATCAGAACATGAAATTTTGATTTCCAACCATCAGTTTCTAACTTACTAAACTTTGAAAATCTGGTTCTGTATCAGAAACTAGATGTCAGTAATGACGCAATCACTAGACCGCCCAATTCTTAACTGTTTTTCTGGTCTCTCCGAAATATATCATCATATAGGCCACACTGGCAATTGATTGTATTCCTCCTCCCACTGTCCTTGAATTATTATACTTATTATCGCGAAAGTCCACCAAGCAGTTATCCGAACCGCTTTCAGCAAAATGTTCTTACTGGGCTAGCAAAGAACATTACAGATATTTAATAGAAATGGGAATTTTCTCTGATGGCAAAGCAGGACACATTACAGTTATTATGATTTATGGAGACTTCTTTGCAACAATAGTAAGATCTCTCTCTATCCTAGAAGAGTTGTCCTCCAACAGCAAATTTTCTTTTCGTGACAGCAAGGTTATATAAAGTACCAGTGAAATAGTTTCAGTGAAGTGAATTTGTCGATGAGAGCAAAGCTACATTACTAGGTTTGTAGCTTTTTTGTCCATGACAGGAAGAATTTCCTCCTGAGACTCTTGTCACTTTGATGACACAGAAAGCTTATGCAAACTATATTCTGCCAACCTTGTTCAGTCATAAGTGTGGTCTGCCAAGTAATGTTCCGGTAGAGAGAACTTGAAAATTCGAACAATTCGCACAAGCTTCAAATTTTGCACACATCTTTGTAATTGCATGGGAAGCTTATGTGAACTATTCTGTCAGCTTATTGACATCGTCCGAAAAGTGTGCTGCCTACACAAGGCCGTATCCAGAGTACAGTAAAAAATCAAAGAATTGTTTCAATAAAAAAAATGAAATGGTGTTATTTCACATATATAATATTCATTAGGAAAGCATAACAGAAATATCAACATCTTGTTACAAAATTGAATTCAGTCTTCTAGCTTTCTTTAAAGAGAACAAATCAATTAACTCCTCGGTGTCGATGACAATTCTGCGGTGGATTGACATTAACTCCAAGCCGTTCAGTCTTTCCTGGCCTGTGGAATTCCTTAGATGAGTTTTGAGGGGTTTCAGAGAAAAGAAAGTCCTCTCAGGGGTACATGCGTTACCATCGAGTATTGTCTCGATGGTAACGGTACACGTCGAAACAGGCATTCTCCGGGAGCTTCAATAGCACAAACATGTTGGTCGATCTAGTTCAGATTCTTCCAGCCATTCAATCCGCCACATGTCTAATTCAGCTTCTACAGAGTCCCATTCCAAATATTCTTCATAGAGTTCAGAGTAGTTCTCTTAATAATTACGAATAATTTGTTCTTCGCAACACACAGACGGAATCTAAATGTTGAGAGATGATAATGTGGCTTTATGATTTGGGAATCTTGACTGAAGCTGATCTATGGAATCATCCGGAAGTGGAATCATCTTAGCAACTCGAGAATAAGTTTCAGGATCTTTTGTGTTGTAATTTGTGACGCTGTTCGCGGAATCTTCATTTCCTCGTTTACAGTACTGAGCAAATTCTGTGCATTGTTGAAAAGTTCAGCGAATTTTGAATCAATATTTTGGCGAACATTTTCAATAGTCTCAATGATTAAATCGACATCATTTCGGAGGGGGATCAATCCCCCTTGATCTCCTCCCTGGCTACGGCCTTGTGCCTTCAGGAAATTCTTTTAAACCACTCCGAAGTTGTATAGGTATTTTATTCGATATCATGAGATTTATGTCTCCACTTTCTTTTTCATTGACATCCATGCAAAATTTGAAGCTTGTGCGAATTTGTCGAATTTTCAAGATTTTTTTTCCTTGACAGAACCCTGTTTCCACCGAAAAATGGGTTGCGTGCAAGAACTGTCAGATGACCGACACAGGAGGCAAAATATTGAAACACAACGTCACTTTACTTATTTGTTAACAAGTGATTGAAATAGTTTTTCACAATTATTTTGGCATACGAATCGTATTTTTCCGCTATTCATCAATTCGCTCATGCCACCACATTATGCTGTTGTGAAATGCACAAAAACTGCAGCGGAAGACGAAGTAATCCGGTTGGTACAATATGATTTGAAAGTTAGTACCTACTATAGTCACTCACATATAGTTTTCATTTTTGAAATTTGGTTATTTCTCTGATTTCTCATCGGAATTCTTTCTGCGATAGAAGCTAATAGAAATACATCTGAAATTTCTAAAATAATGCCAGAAAATTGGATTCATGCAATCAATCGGGAGGACTGGTCTGACATGCTGACGATCGTGTGTGTTGTAGACATTTTCAATCTATTAGCAGTATTAGCTTGTATTGCAGAAGTGACAGAAGGCAAAAGGAATTTCAATAAGGAATGACAACATTTTATAATGATAACTATGTGAGATTACTATTTACCTGAGAAATCATATTCTTTAGTCTCTTGCTGCATTTTTTGTGCATTGTACAACAGCACAATGCGAAGGCATGCTCGAATTAATGAATAGCGCAAAATACACGATTCGTATGCCAAAATATTGTGAAAAACTATTTCAATCCTTTGATTCCTCTGTAACCAAGTAATAAAGTGAGGTTGTGTTTCAATAATAGGTCGCGTGCACGAAGACCGACCCTGGAGGCAAAATATTGAAACACAACCTCATTCTTCTGTGAATTATTGAAACACAACCTCACTTTTTTATTTGGTTACAGAGGAATCAAAAGGTTGAAATAGTTTTTCAAAATATTTTGGCATACGAATCGTGTTTCTTGCGTTATTCATTAATTCAAGCATGCCTTCGCATTGTGCTGTTGTACAATGCACAAAAAATGCAGCAAGAGACTAGGGAATATGATTTTTCAGGTAAATAGTAATCTCACATAGTTATAGCAAGCATTATGAAATGTTGTCATTCCTTATTGAAATTCCTTCTGCCTTCTGCCACTTCTGCAATACAAGCTAATGCTGCTAATAGATTGAAAATGTCTACAACACACACGATCGTCGCATGTCAGACCAGTCCTACCGATTGATTGCATGAATCCAATCTTCTTGCATTATTCTAGAAATTTCAGGTATATTTCTATTAGCTGATCCTATTGCAGAAGGAATTCCGATGAGAAATCAGAGAAATAACCAAATTTCAAAAATGAAAACTATGTGACTATAGTAGGTACTTACTTTTGAATCATAATGTACCATCCGGATTTCTTCATCTTCCGCTGCAGTTTTTGTGCATTTTACAACAGCACAATGTGATGGCATTAGCGAATTGATGAATAGCGGAAAAATACGATTCATATGCCAAAATAATTGTGTAAAACTAATTCAATCACTTGTAAACAAATATGTTTTGCCTCCAGGGTCAGTCATCTGACAGTTCTTGCACGCTACCTATTCACAGAAGAATGAGGTTGTGTTTCAATATTTTGCCTCCAGGGTCGGTCATCGTGCACGCGACCTATGTTGACATAATAGGTACGCATCAGCTTTTTGTGTCATCACGATGTCGTGTGCCAAATTTGGAGCTTGTGTACATTGATTGGATTTTCATGTTTTTCCACTCGGAAAATGGGTTGGCAGAACGGTTTTCGAGCCATATCAAGCTGGCAGAATTTCGGTACTTCGTTCGACATAACAAACTTGGATTTACCATTTTGGAGCGATTTTCCGACCAGTCAGATTTGGTAGAGTAGTTTGGTAGGCCTTTTTTTGGTGAAAAAAAAAATATACACATTTCTGGGATTGTGCAGATTGAACAAAATTGTTTCGTTTTTCACAACCGTTTTACCTAAATAACAATGAAAATTGACCAGTCTGAGGTGGCAGAAATGCAATTTCGTTTGAACAGGGTGTTTCCAAATTGAATGTCAATATTTGAAGAGGCGATTCTTGGGCCCATTTTAAGAAGAACATTCCATATGAACGTATGACCTAAACGCCTTTACTTTTGAGGTACGGGGTGGTAAATTTCTCAAAAATGAACAGTTTTTTATTAAAATCTGTAATACCACTTTGATTATTCTAATGAAATTTGGCATACATGTACTATGAATTGTATTTCTGAAATTTCATCTAAAAAATAACATCTATTTCTCTGCACTGTGATATTGTCATATTAACGATATTGTTATGATCATGCAGTGAAAAGGCTTTTATTTTTTCAAGCAGAAAGCGTGCATCAGATTGAAAAAAATGTAAAGATTAAATTTGCTTAGAAATGAATGAGAATTCCAATAATGATTTCAATTTTGAGATTAATCAGTGGCATACCATCAATGTCTACCAAAATAGGTATGTGAAATTCCATACGAAAGTGGTATACTAACTGATGCATCTTGATACATAGTACATGTATGCCAAATTTCATCTCCTCGAATATTGACATTCAATTAGGAAACACCCTGTATAGTGGCATATTCTATCATATGAGTGAAGTTCAGCATTTGTGCAGATGGCTCGACTTTTCTGACATCAGCTACCCTACTATTTCGTTCAGTAACCTAATGATATTATATTTTATATTCGATATACTTTCT